GCCTCCCCCCCGGGACCAGGTGGTGTGAACCTGGCCTGGGGAACGCAGAAGGCAAACGCTTGTCCACCCGGTGGGAGTCTGGCCCCATTCCTTCCATGGTGGAGGTCAGCAGGTAGATAGACGCTGGGGCTGGGGCTCGGGGCAGGTGTGGGCTGATCTAGGTCGACAGAGGCTTGGTCCCAGACTTGAGGCGTGGCAGGCCTCCCATCTTCCAGGAGAGGGGTTCACTTGGAATAAGCCTTGGGCCTTGAGGGTGCCTTGCCCCCACCCCTCAGCCTCATCCCAGCCATGACCTTGTCCTCTCCCTCCCTTCGGTCCAGGACTCCCAGAGAGCAGCAGTCTGGCACCTAGAGAGCCTTGTAGGGTGAGACCCGGCAGCAGGTCCCAGCCACCTAGAATGTATGTTTATTTGTGGGACAGGAAGGGCCTCTTCTCAGCCCCGTGTCCACACGTGGGCTTGGGCTCCAGTGGTCATTCACCTGGGCGCCTGCTGTGGCGTCACAGAAGGCAGGAGCCCTTAGGGCGGCCTCGGTTCAGGACCAGCGCCACGCTGGGCAGGAAGGACTCCTGGAGTGACAGGGAGGGAACAGCTGGGCGCTGCGGGGCCTCTGGCCAGGAGACGGGGCTCTCTGGGCCCAGGGGGATTCTCTGCCACTGCCCAAGAGGGCAGGCAACTGGGGTCAGCCCCGTTTTCCAGAGGAAGAGATGGAAATGCAAAGAGAGCCCAGCGCTCGCAAGTACTGGGCTGGGGGGCTGGGATCCGGATCCGTCCCACCCCTTAGCCCCAGGGGGCCCGGCCACCCCGCTGGGCAGGGGTGCTCTAGGAGACGCTGCCAGCAGGGGCTTACCAGCTTCTGGCTCCAGGAGCTGGGCGATCTGTCCACCTGCTCCAGGATGCTGTGGGCTTCCAGGAAGGTTTTGAGGCCACTTTGCGGCCTCTGGGTGGTGGCCCTGGGGATGAAGGGCAGGCTGCTTTTCATGGAGGCATCCTCAGAGAGGTGGCCCTGTGGCTCCTGGGGGGCCCTGAGGGGAACAGAGGTCTGTGAGCTGCACGGCCCCCGAATCCCTAGTCCCCCCGTGGCTTCCCCCGGGCCCTCAGAGGCCCAGACCCTTAGCCTGCCGGCTGCGGGGTGGGGAAGTCTACGGGGCGAGGGCGGGGTGGGGGGCGCCCTGGCGATGCGTGTGGATCCTGCCTCTTCCCCCTGGAAGCCTCACAGGCCCGGGCAGTCCCAGCCGAACGAGATGCTGGCCGTGGCCTCCTCTTGGGCCCTGGGGCACAGGGCTTTGGGCAAACGCTCCAGCCATCTCCCGACACTCCTGAACACCCGTTCTGATGTCATTGACCCGGTGGCTATCCCCTTCTCGATGTGGCCCTGCCGGACTGGAGGAGAGAGGGCTCCAGTGAGAACTCTACCTGGAGGGGGCACCGGGTGGCACCCCCACTCTCCCCTCCTCCCTCTAGCAGGGAAGGCCGGGCCGAACCCCGTCTCCATGGCAACCCAAGGCTCCCCAGCGCCTTATGGCTGCCTCCAGAGAAGGCTCAGGTTTTAAAACTATCTTGCGTGACTGTCTCTGCCTTTATTACCCACGCTGTGCCCCACCACACACATACCCACTCCCGCGGCAGCCCCCACAAGGGCCTTCTTTCCCGTAGTGGGAAGGCCAGTCACGCCCCCATCGAAATCCAGAGACAATACCGAGATTTCTGCAGGGATGGAGGGGGCTGGGAAGTCAGCAGCCGAGCCCCACTCTGGCGCCCCGGGATGTGACCACAGCTCCTGGGGCCCGTGGCTGACAAGGAAGCTTCTCCCAGCCAACTGCCATTCCCACGAAACCGTGTCTCCCTGGGGGAACCGCGGCTTCTCTTGTCGGCCACCGTGTGTCACCTGCTCTCGGGGCTTTGGCTTCCCCATCCAACGACGAGAAGTTGGGCGAAACTGCAGCTTCTATTTGCAATTTCCTATGACCTTACGGGGCCTGGGGAGGGTCCCTTCCTAATCAGCGAAGGTCCGGGATTTGGGGGCTTTAACCCACAGCTAGGCTTTGGAGCAGCCTCTGCTCAAACTGCACACAGTCGGTGCTCAATAAATGGATGCAAGCTGTTGGAGGCCCTGGGGCAGCTAGATCCTGTGAAGTGAAGAGGCCGGGCAGATGGAGAAGGGGGCAGGGCGGGGGGCGGGGGGGATGGGCAGGGCAGGTGATAAAGGTTATACCAGAGCAAGGACACGGTATTCTTCCCACCTGCCTCTTGACACCTTTAGAAAACACTGGAAACTATGCCAACGCAAACACTACCACATCCATCCCCCGCCAAAGAACTGAGAGCAAACTTCCATCCCAGAACCCAGGCCCGGTGGCTGCCGGCTTCTTTGCTGGACCAGGCAGTGCCTGCCTCCCCCAGAGAGACGGTTTGATCTTCTGGACCTTTCTGGGCATCTCCTCAGCCAGGCAGGCCTTCATGGATACGGGGAGAAGATGCTTTCGGTGGCTTCCCATCTTCTTCAGCCCCTGTAGGCCATGGAGGGGACCAGACGTGGGGTCAGGAGGCTGTGGGGCCTGTCCCCAACGTGGGCAGATATGACACGTGCGAGCCCTTGGCAGGAAGAAGTCCTCCCGTGGTGCCCGGGCCCGGGCACCCATTGTTCCCTCCATGGCGGCTGCTCCCTGGTGCCACCCACGTTGGGACACCTCTGCAGGACCTCAGCCCCTCTCCTTGGCCCTCGAGGAGCCTCCGACACTCTCCGGAGAAGCCAGTGCAGGTACCTTTTCCGTAGGGTCAGTGGATTCCTGGCCTTTTCTGGGCGGCCCTCACTCCCAGGACCCAGGGCCGCCGCCTCTGCTCTCTGGGCTCCAGGCTGGAACTTTCTGGAGTCCTGGGGCTCCCCCTGCTGTCTGCTTACCTGCCAAGGCACGTTCCCAGTAGCGGAGCGCGCTGTCCCGCAGGGTCTCATCAGCAAATCGCACGCGGAAGGGGCAGAAGCGCCTACGCTTCTTCCCCGAGCCTTCTCCCGAGGAGCTGTGAGTGAGCACAGCCTTGAGCTTGGGGGCCTGGACACTGTGGGGCCTGGCGAGAGAGGCAAGGGGGCCGGCTGAGTCCCCAGCCCCACGTTCCACCCCGGGCCACACACACCCGCTGGACCAGAGCTCGCCGTGCATCCTGAGAGCCCCAGCAGCCGGCCTCTCCTGAATACCCCACGCCGGCCGGGCGATGGGGTCAGGCACGTAACGGGCATCAGTCTACCCGTCACGCCCACACCACCCTGGGCGACATGATTATTATTCCCATTTTACAGACGAGGAGAACTGAGGCACACAGAGATGTTCTGCAACTGCCCAAGGTCCTACGGCCGGTAAAGGGTGGAGCCAAGATCCGAATCTTAGCTCCAGAGCCGGCACTCTTATATATCAAGCAGTTCAGCAGCGAGAATACGGCCCTCCCGGCCACGTGACCCGGGGCAGCCCGCACTCACGTCTCCATTTTGCAGTTTCCCCCTTTAAGTTACGTATTGTGTCTTGTAGGTATGATAACAGCATCCTTATAAGAGGGTGCTAGGTCTCCGATAACTTACTTGAGGCATCCAGTACGCATTTATTGCTATTAATTTCAGCCTCAAGGGCAAGGCTGCAGAAGGGCCGGCCCGATCCGTCCGTGGATCTGTTATTCAGAAACGCCACGTTCAACTCTAAGTACACACAGATGGACGTATCCGCAGCCATTTATCCGACTGCATCTCTGTGTCTGAGTGGATCCCCGGAAGGGATCCTATCATCAGCCCACTAAGGAGCCAGGAAGCCAGGAGATGTCAGGACAGTGCCAGGCTATGGGCATTGGGACCTAGCGCTCCCCCAGCTGCCTGCTCTGTGCTGGCCGCAGGGCCATATACAGGTGCACCCCAGCCCTGCCCCTAGGACTGGAATCTCAGCTTCTCCCGTCAAAGGCTCCCGGAGCCTAATCCGACGCACCCCGCTGTCCCCTGCAGGGCCTACCAGGGAATCTCGCACACCATAAGGTGCGCAAGCATTCGGTCTTCAATGCGAAACGCTGCGAATGTGTCTCTCTCTGCCGTGTGTCATAGTGGGGATAAAGAGTTCCACACTTTTCCTTATTATATCTTGGGAGAAGTGTGTTTATTTGGCCCCACTGATTTAAAGTTCCTGGGTTGACAAATGGGTTCCGCTCCCGGCACCCGCGCCGATCCGTTGGTGGCGCCGGCCTGGAGCGCTGTGTCAGGGAGGGTTGGAGGCCCAGTGGGGAAAAATGCTGTGATCCGATGATAACTGTCAGCCATGGGCCCAGAACGAGAAGGAACGGCATGGATGTCACGTATTTACTCTTTGGTCTTTAAACTCATGGGCGATGTTTTTCACCTTTCACCTCTGTCTAAGCCTGTGTATGCTGGGGGAATTTTTTCTGCATTCTTTTTCCTCTCCATTAGAGCTATGGCATCGAGTGCAGGTAAGCTCTAATGCCCAGGCTCTTCTCCAGCCTCCATCCCTTGTCTTATTTCCCCCCATATTTCCCTCTAACTCTAATCAGAGTTAGAGGAAGAAATGGACCGATGAATGGGACGAACGACTGGGTGGGTGGATGGACGGACGGACTGATGAATGAGTTCAGGAAAAGGTCTGAATAGAAGGACTGGATCTTAGGAGGAGGCAGAGACGTATGGACGGGTGGATGGATGGCTAGACAGACAGGCATGTGGACTCATCTCTGGCTTTATAACGAGATTACAGATGGACAGTATCCTGGATTTACAAGTGCGTGGAAAGTTTTGTAGATGATTGATCATTGGATTCCTGGATGGTGGGTAGAATTGTCAGAGTTTGCGGATAGAGGGATGACCGGCTAGATGGACGAATGGAGGGACTGACGGATCAACAGAAGACCTGACTCACGGATAGACACATAGATGTATGTATCGGTGGACAGATGGATAGACTCACAGGTGAAATACAGAGGAAAGAACAGAAGAAACGCTTTCTCCCACCCCCCATAATGCCAGCCTCTTGTAACTCACTGGTTGGCCTTTTTGAAGGTGATGAATTGCGAGCGATCTCTCTTCAGGGTCCCCAGGGCAGGTATCCGACGCAGCAAAATCTTCTTAAGACTATTCTGGAAGTACGATGACTGACCCCTTGAAGACACACAAGCCACACCTGGCGTGAGTGGCCAGGGTCCCCACCCTCGGAGCACTGATGGCAACCCTGTCCCCACCAGCAGGTCAGCGACACTCACCGCAGGTCTGAAGGGAAGGAACAGTGGGGACACCGGGGAAGATGCTGGCAGTGCTCTGACACACTCTTTTTTGATTGCCGTGCTGAGGATGCTGGGAGCCAGGAGGAGGGGGAAAGAGCTATGAGCCTTCCCTTGGGGACAGTCCTCACTAGGCTTTTCCCAGTTACGCGGCCTTGGGCCTCAGTTACCTCATCTGTACTACAGGGGCAATGGTAGACCCGCCCTCAAGGGGCGGTCGTCAGGGCTCTGCCAGGCGTCCTCAACTAACAGCAGCTTCATTCATTCCAGAAATGACTCCGCCCCGCCCCCTGGGGTCCTGGGCGGGGCCTCACTCGGTGGCTTCGCCCGGACGCACTCTGCCCCCGTCCGCTGCAGGAACTCCCGGAACTTGCTGGGGAGGAGCTCTCTTTGGAGCGCGAGCCGGGAGTCCGGGGTCTCCCTGGCCCAGCCCCTGCAGGGGTCCTCGCTCTCTCCAGGCCGGGGCGCGGGGTCCCGGGGCGCACCGGCCCGGAGCAGGGGCGGCAGCAGGAGCGACCTCAGCTTCGCCCGGTTCTGCGCCGCCCGCTGGGCCCCGGTGGGCAGGGTGGGCAGGGTGGGCAGGGTCAGCGGGGCGCTCCTGACACCCACCCCCAGCTCTGGGAGCGAGGACCCGCCCCACCACCCGTCGTCGCTCCCCGAGGCCCTCGAGCCCCGGGTGGCCCCCGCGCCAGATACTCCCCGGATTTGGGGCAGGGGCAAACTGGGCAGCAGCGGGTCTTTCCTTCGGCGAGCGCGGTCGCCGGGGAGCCCCTTGGGCGCCACCTGCTGGGTCCAGGGGTTGGGGGACGCCACCTGCTGCGTCCAGGGGTTGGGGTGACGCCGGGTCATGTCTGGCCCTGCGCTCAGCTCAGGGCGTCCTCACGCCTCAGTGGGGGCGGGGGGTGCCGTGTAAAGTGCAGAGGAGGGCGTAGACCAGCCCCCAGGCCATAGTGCCCAGAGCCCCAGAGCCGGGTCGTGTGGTTTGGGGGTAACGCCCCCGGTTCGCCAGGCAGTGAGCGGCTTCAGGCTAGAGCTCGCCTAGCCTCTGTTTCCTCACCTGCCAAATGGTCACGTCATTTGTGACCTCTCTGAGTTGCTGTGACGTCTAGGTGAGGGGGCGCGCTACTATTATCGATGTTGTTAGCATTTTAAACTTTTTGAAATTCAGGATTTAGTCTCAGTTCCGCTGCTTACTAGCTTCGCAACCTTGGACAGGCCAATCGATTACCTTTTCTTAGTGCCTTTATCTGTAGAATGGGGGTGACGGAGCACCTGCCCCCTTTGTGGCTCAGCACACGGGAGTGCTGCTGTCCTGTTCACGCTGTTAGCGCTCCACGGGGAATTAGGCTTGAAAGGAGAGACCCGCCCAGCAGTTGCGCGGTCCTGCTGGGGCCCCAGGGCCCCTTGGGTGGAGAGCTTGCTGAAAATGCGGATGCCCCAGGTTCTAACTCAGTAGGTCTGGGGTGGGGCCAAGACACTTATTTTTAACAAACTTCCCCTTTGGGAGACAGAGCTCCACGCCTGCCCCCAGCATCTTGACACTGGGTTGGAGGTCGGGGGGGGGGGGGGGGGGGGGGGGGGGGAGGTCTTGGAGCCTGGTTCCTCCCTATCACACCCCACCCCCAGATTATTGTCAGCTCTGAGCTGGCTCCTGGTATCACACTCACCCTAGTGGGGCTTCTGGGTGAGTCCTGAGGAGGTCCCTTGAGTTTGGAGCCCCCTAACTGGTGGGTTGGTCCTTGAGAGAGCCCATCTTCCCGGCCTGGTCCATCTGCTGGACCCTCCCTGCTCTCCCTCCGGGCCTCCCTCCTGGGCCTCTTCAGGGTCATTGTGATCCGCCCCTCACCCAAGGCCATTCGGGGAGCGATGGTCTCTCAGGCCTGGAGACAGAGGGTGGGGCTTTGGGCCCAGAAAGCCAAAGCTGCCCGCACAAGGGGGTGGTGGGACTCCTGACCAGGGCAGCCGGGCCCAAGCCAGCGGTGGAAACGCCAGGGTTCCGCTACCCTCTCTGGATTTGGGAGGCCCAGGTGGGTCAAGTTTGGGCTGGGTAGGTCTGGAAGCCCAGCTTCCACTGGAAGGCTGGGCAGTAAGAAGGCAGTGGGCTTGGAAACCAAGAGAACTGATTTCCAGTCCAGGCTCTGCTTCCGTTTGGTTCAAAATGCTGGACAAGCTGTCCTTTCTCAGGGCTCCGTGGTAAAACAGACTGTTGGACCCCATCCGTGACTCTTGGCTGGGAGGAGGCAGGGGAGAAGCTTGCGTTGTGAAATTGGAGTGGGGGAGAAGGATTGTTTGGCCCAGCAATTTCACTGGCATGGTATAATTTGACAATTTTACAAGTCGGCCCAGAGGAAGTATCATAGCCGATGTACTTCCATTTTCTGCAAATACTCTTCAACCAGGGATGGAAGGGTGTACCTCCCTGGGAAGTTGGAATATTGAGTGGGGAAGGTGAACATTTTTTTTTTTTAAGTTTATTTATCTTAAGAGAAAGCATGAGCAGGGGAGGGGCAGAGAGAATGGAGAGAGCAAGAATCCCAAGCATACTCCACACCAGCGCAGAGCCCCATGCGGGGCCCGAACGCATGAACTATGAGATCATGACCTGAGCCAAAGTCAGATGCTTAACGGACTGAGCCACCCAGGCACCCCAGGAAGGTGAATCTTTTTATATCTATTCCCTGGAAAGGTGAACATTTTTTACGTTTATTCTAAGAGTACATGAATTTTTTAAAAAAATGGACGAGGAACACCAGACTAACTACATGATTTCTTTTTTTTTTCTTCAATGTTTACTTATTTTTGAAAGACAGAGCATGAGCGGGGAGGGGCAGAAAGAGAGGGAGACACAGAATCTGAGGCAGGTTCCTGGCTCTGAGCGGTCAGCACAGAGCCTGACGCGGGGCTAGAACTCATGAACTATGAGATCATGACCTGATGACTGATGAAGCTGGATGCTCCACCGGCTGAGCCATCCAAAAAAAAGGTAGGTAGGGGTGGATTTTTAGGCACCCCTGGAAAAGCTGGGCTCAGAGCTGCCCCCAAAGGAAGAATCCACATCCAGCAATTGAGATTGTTCAGGATTTATCCTCTTCCCTTAGAGACCACGGAAAATGAAGCTTGGGAGAGGGGCCCAGGCCAGGGGAACCAAGTTTGATTTGGAGTACTCTGGAGAGGATGCCAAATAATATATACGTAAACAGATTTGGGGGACTCAGCTGCAGCCTGTCCCCCTCCCCAGCTTTCATGTCATTAGAGCAAACACACCTGAAGTACTTCCCGTGTGCAAAGCCCAGAGGAAGGCATCTAAGACCAGGACGTCAGTTTAGGAAAAATGAACTTATGATAAATATTGTCTATTTACTGACAGCACACTGCAGGCACAGGGCTGAAGGCTCCACCGGCAATATCCTACAAATTTAACACTCAGAGCATTGGGAAGTGAGTAAGCACGCAAGTCTGGAAGAAGAGGACTCCTTGGAGAGGGTCACAAGTCCTACCACGTGCAAACCCATCATATTTCCATCAAGATTGCTTTCAGGTATCCCTCCAGAATTTCTACACATGGGAGGAACCTGTGGGAGGGCAGGCTTTTTGGAATGGAAACTTCAAGGATTTGTTCTGCTTAATTGAGGTAGCATCCCCTTGGCGCCATCAAGGGTTCTTTTTCTTCTTCTCTTCTCTTTTTCTTTCTCTCTCTCTTGGCTCTGCATATTATTTTAAGGTGCAAATTGTTATGGGTACGATTTGGGGAATGAGGCTCCTCCCCTCTTTCTCCCCGGTGGAAAACCCACAGAACGCTCGTTTTTAAAAGTCCAGCCTTCAGCCTCCAAACGAACCGGTGCACGTGCTGGAGGCAGGAGAAGCTCGGCGGCGCCCAGGCTCTTTTAAGACTGAGAGGTGCTTCCAGGAACCAGAAAGCCGACCGGGGCGGGGCAAACCGGCCGTGGGGCGGGGCTAGTCGCGGCCCCGCCCCCGGGCGCCCGGAAGTGACGTGTGCGGACAAAGGCAGCGCGCGCCGCGAGGTGTCGCGTCTGGCCGTGGTCTGACGGAGCTGGCGGTGGGCTTGTGGGGGGTTCGCTGCCGCCGCCGCCCTCCCTTCGGCTTCCTGTTCCTCGTCCTCTTTTCCCGGGTCCCGGGAGCCCCCACCCGGGGTGAGTAGCGCGAGGCGGAGAGGCGGCCGGCGGGGGAGAGGTGGCCCCGACCGCCAACTGCCTCGGCGCCCTGAGGTCCCGGCTCGTCACGTGACCCGGCGCGAGCTGCCGGGGCCCCACGTGCGCGTCCCGGGGAGGTCGGACAAGGGGGTCGCTGGGGGCTGGTGGAAGGGGAAGGCCGGGGCACCCGGAGCCTGGACGGGGCAGCCCCTCCCCCGACGCCCTTCCGGGGTCGCAGCTAGTCCCTTTCCCTGCCTGAGCCTCAGTTTCCCCTGGAGAAGCGGGGACAAGGAGAGCAGGCACTCGGAGAGTCGGTGTCAGGGTTCAGTAAAATGCTCAGGTCAGAGCCGGGCACAGAGCAGTGCCCGCTGCATGGGAGTTGCTATCTTATTTCACCTTGGATCCAGCCCCAGTTACGGTCGACACAGGTGCCGCTCAGAAGAGAGCTCGCCAGCCAAGAGCCCTTGGAGCCAAGGTCAGCCTGTTTGCGGAGGGGCTGCCAGATCGAACGAAAGGCCCGGGCTCTGCTGCCCATCAGCGCGGCGGGATGACTCTGGGACAGAGACAGCTGGTGTCAGAGGCCCTGACGGTGGGGTGGGGCAGGATTGCAGACGGTCTGGACGTATAGAATCATTGCCCTGGTAGGGCCTTGACTGTGGTAAGACGTCTGGGTTCCCTCCGTGTGCTCTTCCTGGTTTCCTGTGTGCATTGAAGGCACATCACTCCCTTAGTGGAATGGTTTTCTAGCGGTAGGCCGGGGGGGGGG